AAGCAAATCAGAATTTATATCAACATAGTATGTCAGCAGTCTCTCAACTGTTTTGTTTTTTTTTTTTTTATCAGGACCTGTAAACTGCAACTCTGCTTGTTTGTTCTTATGTAGCACTGTAACACCAAAGTTGTCTAACAGTGCACGATCATCTTATAGAGGTACAACATCATATAGATAATTTATTATCCTTTTTTTCTTGAAAAGGAGGGTTATAACTGGGAGGCTTCAGATTTTGTCTTTTATCCCGTTGCTCATAAGAGGTCTCTAAGTGCTATCAACAAACTTGTATTTCCACAGAGATAGAAATCTTAGTGCTGGAAGGGTCTGTTGTAGTAATCTGGTCTGACTTCCACATTGTGGAGGCATGAGAGCTTGCCCTATATTTATACTCTGCAAATTCCAAACTTCTGTCTGAGCTCGACTGTAATACTCTTTGTAAGTGGGACAGTCACATTTCTGCTGTAGATAAAATTAATCATTCCTTTAGGATGTGAGCAAGGACTTGAAATCTGCTTTCTTCTTGAAGAGCTGTTGCTTGAAAAATGATGTATTTTATTTCCTGTTCCTCCTCCAGGTGTTAAGTGCTTCCATTATGAACCATGAAGTTGTTGGTGGAGTCTTTTATAAACGTTCCCTAAACTAGCACAGGAAAAGTTACAGATATTTCTACTTTTATATGTACACGTGTTCATACATACACCACCAGAAGTTGTTTTACACTAAATAAATCATCCCCTTTTGTGTAGGGACAGTATTTGCTTCTGTTTGGTTTATTTAAGGGTAACAGCTGGAAGTACCTCCATAATTTTGACAATTCATCTTTACCATTTATTTTCTTATGGTGGGACAACTTTTCTGCTGGAGTAAGTGAGGCTAATGGAGTTGCACGCTGTGACACTTTGTTCATTTTAAGCAGCCAAAACTGAGAAGCTCTTCTCAGCTGTCACTGTTCCTTTGACTGAAAAATGTCAGACTCTGGCTGTGACTGTTATCCTGCCTAACAAACAGCGTATCAGAAAATGACAACAGCCGTGAACTGAGTCCTTATCTGTTCCTTGACTGGGCTGTGAATTATGCTATGCAATGCAAATTACATGCTGATAAGGTCCAGAGATTTCTGGATTATATGTCTCCTATGTAATTTTCAGGGGGAAGATAATGCAGCTGTCTTAATTTTTATTTTTAATCCTGTTTCTGAAAATTAATATGGTTATCACCATTTGCATAAAGAGAAATAACTCTTACAGTGGTGACAAATATTTCATTTATAGTGCCCTCTTCCCTAAGTGGAGGTGAAGGTGAGCCATGAGACTGTGTTTCAGACACTAACAAGAAGGAGTAAAGATTGGGCTATTTCCTATCTTCATTACAGTTTTCATCATGAGAGTGAATTAATGAACCATTATTCTTTTCTCACTAAAGGCTTTTTCCACTACAATGAGGATAGAAAGATTTTTTTATGATTTCTCTACTTGCAGTAGTAATCTGTCTTGCTTCAACCTTTATGGCTGTTTATTTTGACTGACCTGTCATAGCATCTTTAGTGATAGACCTGCAGGGAAAGAGGTAAATTGTTGAGCCATGGCAAACTCAGACAACTAGAAAGGTCACTGTAACCCAGCATGCTTAATATAAAGGCTGTTTATGTTCTCATGACTCATTCTGCAGTTTACAGAGCAAACAGTCATGGAGTAGGGTAGTTTAGGAAGGACAACCTGTGCTCCTGGAGATACTGATCATGGGTTATGCATGTAGTTCTGTCTCTGATCTTTCTGCTTGACCCTGGGCAGGTCACTTGGGATTCAGTACAGATACCATGCAGGTCTTATGACAGAGCTCCAGGTAGCGTCAGTAGGAACAGGTCTGAGTCTTTGTCCTTGGTGCTCACAGATTACTCAGTTTTGCATGTAACAAGGTTCACACTTGCCAAATGCTGTTTTCTCTAATGGAGTTCCTCTTAGTGCAAATGGCTACTGGTTTTTAGTGACCTTAGGATATATATAGATATATCTTTTTTTTTTATTAGTTGGTCTTTTGTGTCAGGACAGGGGTGGGTTGGCACTCTTTGTTTTGAAGGGAGGGGGCTGCCATTGTGTTATGCTCATTTGGTCAGTATTTATGTGTTAAACCAGATTTGAATAGAAACACCACAATTAGGAAAACTCTTTCCTGTCTCTGCAGTTATTTTCTGTGCTGAAAAATCGTTCTTCCAGACCCTTTTTTACAGCCAGGATCTGATATTGCTGCCTGGGTTGTTCTTTGTTTTGTTTTTTTCCTTCCCCCCCGCTTCTTTTGTGTGTGTGTGTTGGTTTTGTTTTTTTAAATTGAGCTGTCTTTCCAGGGCACTGCAGTGTGGATATGTGCAAACAATGCAATTAGTGTGAATTTCAGCATAATACACCACTGATACCTGACCACATCCTTTTTCTTCACTATCATACTTTCTTCACACCATCTCAACTTCCTTCTTCCCTCTAGCTTCTGTTTTCATTGCTTTGTTTTATCTGTCAGTGTCCAGGATATCTTATCCTGAAGCTTTTGGTAGCTTCCCCTCCTCCAGTCCAAAGGTGCTCCCTTCCCTTCATGCCCTGGGTTGTACTTGGCTCATCTCATTCAGGATTATGTTGGTATTCGTGCATAAACTGTGTATTTGTGTCCACACCTGCATGCATCACCTAGGAGTGTGAAACTAGTTTTTGTACAATAACATAAATGGAAAACATTTTTAAACGTGGCTTGAAATATATTGATGTGCATCAGCTAATTCTATAAAATGCCTCACATATGTAGCACTACAAAACCTGAATGAATTGTCACTTGACATTATAGGCAGTGGAGCAATGAGATCGCATGGTATAGGACCACTCAAAACAGGGTGGAATTATAAAAGGGCTGTAAGATATAAAAGGAAACCTCAATCCCTTTCTTGTTGCAAGCTGAGACCAAATTCTGGTCTGTACTATCTTTTTTGCAATCTTACTGAACTTGGTTGTTAAGTGGTAGACTTTAGTATGGACTGATTGTGTTAATTTACATTATCCTCTCCCATTCTGCCTGAGGATTATCTGCCGTGTCCTTCTGTGTTCTCATACTAACAAATGATGCATTTAAATGGCAGGTTGAACTGAAGTGTGGAAGATGCTTAAACTAATCTGACATTGTGAGGTATCTCTGCAGGTGTTTTGTAGCTGTAGCATGGAAATGCTAAAGATTTAATTGACTGAGTGTGTAACAAGAACAGGAAATGACACAATGGCAATTCATTTTCTCTGAGAATGCAGTGGAACACAGGCTGCAGCAACCTTAATTAGATTTTCAGTTAAACATTTTTAGCAAGGATGGAAAGTTCAGCTAATTGAATCTGTTCTGATTTCCATCCTCCTGATTGTCATTTCTTGCACTTCATTTTGGGAGATACTTCAAGAAACTGCTCTCATTGTTCTCTGTTCATTGCAGTGTGTGATGACAGATGGTAGGCAACATGCTGATGTGCAGGGTAGCTACACATAAGCCATGGGAGCTCCCACCTGTCTTTGTTACAATGAAACTGGACTGGATCCACTCCAGGGACTTAATGGCTCCCTGTTTCCTGTTGTCCCAATCTCCATCCACTTTAACATGAGAGTAAGTTAGTTGTGTATTAATAATTCCCAAAATATTTATAAGCTGTTGCAGGGAACTGTAGAAAAGTCTAAAAGAAATGTGGTGTTCTGTTCTGAATAGGTGCAGGTCTAAATAATCACCAGTTTTTAGAATACCCACAGTTAGTACTACCACTGTTGTGCTTCTTTTTTCCTTTCTTTTTTTCCTGTGTGTGTCTGGCTGATTGAGTGCCAGTTAATGAACAGGTACTTTGTTTTGGCACCTGTTGATCTACTAATTTCAAATGTGATTTCTCCCCCAGAGGGTAATAGTGACGACTTCTTTCAAAAGAGAGAGTATGTCAAAGTCGCAATGTAAAAGTTAGCACTTAAAGGCGCTTTGTGGGCTAGAGATGTATTGCTGTGGCACCTCTTAAAACTAGAAAGTCCTATCACAGCTGACCTGCATGCTACATATATTCATAGGTCTAGGCAAACCTGGCAGTAGATACACAGGCAGTAGCCAGCTCTGTGTGGGCTAGAAGATTACTGTCTGAACCCTGGAGCAGATGTTCTGGCGGTTTCTGTAGATCTGTATGATATGATGCTCAATGAGGAAGTATTTCCTAGATGTTCTGTAGTTCAAGCTGGTTTGGATGTTAAACTTCACAGGTTGCAAGAGTCCTTCTAGTTTCTGGAATCCAACTGATTCCAGAAATATTCAATAAAGGAGCTTCTGAGAAAACTGGGCTTTGTACCAGCCTGTTTCTCAGAAGATCCTAAATGAAGCAAATGGTGAGCTTTCTGTTAGAAACCTATTACAAGATACACATGTAGTCTTCTTAGTTCTTTAGAAATCTCTGTAATTCATGTTTCTTTTAAAAAAGCTTCTTGTGGTTTTACACCAAATAGCCTTTAACAAAATCCAATAACCTGGGAAGAAGGTACAAATATTAAGAGACCTGCAGATTCTCAAGAGGTCTTTGCCAAGTACAGAAGCTTGCTAGATTGCTTAACTGAACCATGCTTGTGATTCTCAAGTCTTTAATTTGTCATTAAAGGAAGGGGTTGTATTTCAAAGAGCAAATAGCAGATTTGTGCTCCGTGGGGTAGCTTGTGATCTGTGCTCTTTGGGGAAAGATGGAGATAAAGGAATACCAACTGAACACATACAAAACGGGACTTTTTAGTCCCCTCTGCAAGCAGGATCAGCTGAAGAAGTTACAAGCTAGGTTCTCCAAAGTTGTGAGCAAGTTCAGGTTGTAGACTGTCAGTTTTGGAGAGAAGTTGATAGGTTATGGGCAGATTGTGGTAAAGAATGGCTTTAGGTAGCTTTGACAATATGTCTGAAACTCTGATCATCATTGTTTCTCTAACCTAGGGCTTCTCAGTTATGAAGGGAGGATTTGCAAGAGGAGCAGTTTACTGTTTGTTATTGGGTCAACTGAAACTAAAGTGAATTCAGGTCAAAGGCAGCTCACAGGAGCAAAAGAGGGAAAACTTCATTTTGACATTTTTCGAAATTAAACATTTTTGATAATGTGATTCCAAAAGGGCTCCTTGGGGTGCAGTGGAGAGAGTTGGAGAACTAAGACTTTTAAGGGCTGGCACAAAATGGTTTGCCATAAGCAGGTAGGTCTATACAAATGCAAAAATAGATTTGGTATGTACGGATATGTACCTCTTATGATATGTGACCTGATGAAGTGTTGCAACCCTTCAGGGAGCCTGCAGATGGACATGGGCTGAGCATCTCTCATGAGGAATGAGATTCCTGCCAACTAGCAGGATTTAGTTCAAGGGCTTGTGGATACTAGGTAACCATCAGACAGTGCAGCCCTTCTCTGATAAGGAGCAAGGAGAGAAGTCACAGATCCAGACACTGATTGGTTTGGTCACCAAATTAAAAAAAAAAAAAAAAAACAAACAAAAAACCACACCTAAAAATCAGTATCTGAGCATTGTATGTAAAATATTGTCCTAAATAGTGATTTATTTTAATATTCCAAAAATGATGTTATTCTGTAATCAACGTACATCTTAGTCATAGCTCTAGCATGTGCTAATTCAGGTGTAAACTAATCTCGTTACTGTACATTTGCTTTTGTCAATACTATTTATAGTTAGAGGGAGCTAACATGACAGGAGGTACCTACACATTGTACTGTAGAGGAGGGCATAGACCAAAACTTGACTAATGAAAGTGGATTATAAGAACACTTTTCTGGCAACTGGAATGTGAAACAGAAGGTAGGTGACTGAAGTGTAACGCTTAACACGCTGAGTTGAAGGACCACTAGTGAGCTGCGAATCCCTTCTTTATGCTTTGCACATTCATGTATGTACACAGAGGGCTAACAGCTGGGAAGTATTTTGTGAAATTTCAATTAAAAGGCCATTCTTACCAGTATGTGAAGAAATATGCTAGCTTTCTTTAGAGGGTAAAAGTGCTTCACAGAGCTGTGAAATTCTCCTTTATTACTGTACCCAAGTCTTATCTTACTGAAAGTGATACAGCTCTTTTGGAATGTTACCCCTTTGAATACCAATTGCAGTTCCATTGTTCCTTCTCACCTTTTTCTTTTTTTTTTTTTTTTTTTTTTTCCTCAGGGAGAAGTGTCTCCTTCCTCTCCAACTAGCTCTGGAATCAAAGAGCATGAAGCTGGCCCAACAGGCTCTAGCAGGGATGCAGGTACGACTTTAGAGTGGGTATGTGTTAGTGGGCAGTGAGTGTCAAGGAATTCTAGGCTTTTCTTTTGAAAAATACTACAGAAAAAGTGTCTATCCTAGTGTGGACCTAACAATAATGTTCATGTTTCTGTAACAGTGTTCAGAAGTTAGGATGTAAGTAAAGGCTGATGATTCTGTAGGAGCTAAGAATGTGCTGCAGATAGGTGGGAGTTCCTGGCTTTCAATGTTGAAATGCAGGTGTACTCTTCCTTGTGTGGTAATGTGCTAGTCTCAGTAAGCCTCACCACTGCTAAACTTCTTAGAAACTAAACTGTGTCAAGTCTTGCTGTTTTCTTTGATTAGAAGAGAGGACAGCAGTGCTTGAAAGAGGGAGAGGTGAATAAAGTGTCTGGGAGCTGCATTCTATATGTGTGGGCACTTTCCAGAGTTTTTTGTACACTGAAAACAGTAGGAGTAGCATCTGATTTACAAGTTTATGAAATTGCAAAATAAGACAGCAGTGCAGCACAAACAACAAAAAGACTTCTTGGGTTTGACAGTATAAAAACTAAAGCACTTTACCTCTCTTTTAATTGGACAAATGAGTGTATATCAGTAAATACTTATCACTAGAAAGATACTAGTTGTGGAAAAGGCTAGTACACTACTGGGGCATAAAATGCATACCACCATTTTCCAAAAAGAAATTTCTCCTTCATAAGACAAGCATGAAGTTGTTTTGGGAGCATAAGGATGTAAGTTTAAATTAATTTAATTCAGGATATGAGATGTCAAGCATTGGATTAGAGTGTACCCCATACTGGGATACAACATGGTTGTAGGAGTCTCTGGCTAGGGGAAATATGTACTTTCTGAAGGGTTCCTATAAGGGAACTGAATTGTTTCTGGATCTGCCAGAAGACACAGATCACCTTATTGCAGCATAGCACTCTGGTCCCACCCTGAGATCCTGTGCCCTGTATTTCAGATATATGGTGGGGTGCAGGGGTTGCTCTTAAAGTGAAAGCAACAGTAGACTAGTGGGACTGGAACATGTGTCTGCTCTTGTACCAGAGCAAGTACACCCATTAGAAGAACATTGCAAAGTGACCATCAACCAAAAATAGTGGAGGAATTAGGGATGACCCACTCTCCACTGTAGTATAACTTCCTTGGGAACACCCAGTGAAGATATATTTTATCTTTTTACTCATTTAACTTGGTACACATACACTTGAGTTCTGTATGAGCTGGAATTGCAAAGTTGTGGATTTGCAGCATGGTATCTTAAATAAGAATGTTACCTCCTATCTATAAGCCTAAAAAGATAATACATGCAGTACAGTCCTCCATCTGCAGCTGAGTCAAAAGATTTTAATGGTTCCCTCATTGTGGCACAGATCTCCTAGTTTTGCTGTACTTTTGTATTTTATAGTGTTGGATCAATTTGAAATTTGTACATAGAAAACCTAGCCATCATAGTACCATATACTAATAGGTTTATGTGTAGTAGTTGATGGCAGAATTAGGCAGTTTTGTCTGAACCTGTACACTGCCAATTTCTCTCTGCAGAAGCTGCTGTCTGATGAGAGGTTTGTATCCGTAGAAACAGACTCAGATGAGAAACAGTTGCTTAATCAGATGCTGAATGCCGTCAAAGTGACTCCTTCGCTCAACGAAGACCTGCAGGTTGAAGTGATGAAGGTTAGTGTTTCACACACGTCAGTGCTTGCAACAGCAGTTGCATGATTGTATGCTGGGGTTAGCAAATAAATTAGCTGTTGCCTTGGAAATCTTCACTTTAGGACAGTATTTGATTCCCTCCCTCCTGCTGGCAGATGTCAGTTGTTTTCATTTCTACTTTGTTTGTGTTTTCCTGGGTTAAATAGGAGATTGTTTAGATTAAGTCAGTGCAGTGGTGGTCCCAGTTTTAGCAAACTGAAATAGGGCAAGCAATTCAGTCCATGGGAGTTCACAGATCAATGACTTAGATATTTGAAAGTTTGTGTTTGATATTGAGTGTTAGGGTTCATGAAGTGGGATGTGCAGGTTTGTAGTTTTGAATTTTGTGTGCATAGGTACTTTCTAGTTTGTTAGCTGTATGTTCTCTTTGTAAAGTACTAATGATGGAGCCTTATTTCTTTAGGCACTAAAATTTCTCTGGACTAGTGCATAAGGGAAATTGTTGTTTTGTATACTCAGGGAAAGCTTCTGTTTCTAGAAATGCTCTAGTGTTATCCTGTGTGTGTTAGGAAGCTCAGGGGCCAGGGGGTACTGTTTCAGAGGGGAGGCACTGTCAAATTTCCTTGCCCTGTGATTGGGTTGGTTGTATGACTTGCCAGTACTGCCATAAAAAAGGCGGTGGATAGTTCTCAAATGCCTGGGTGTAAACTTTATACTACAGGTCTTGTTGTGCTATAGCTGATCATTGTTTGGTACAAACCTGGTGATCCTTTCTGTATGTTTACTATACCTAGTACTGATTGCTATATTTGGATCTACTGCTTGACTGTCCTTTACTTCTAAGTGCATAGATTAGGTATTTTATTTTTCTTACAAGTGACATCCTTGTTCTAAAGAATATGTTACCCACTCTGAAACCGCTCTGTACTAGCTGTACTCTTTGCTACTGAAGATGACTACTTGGGTGCAATATGCACTCAGTGTCAGAACATGCAGAAGAGTGAGCCTAGCGGCAAAAAAAAGGAAGAAGAATTTGTGTAGACTGTTACCCGGTTTATGGGAGCAGGTTTCTGACCACGTACAGGTTTAACTGGTGACGCCCAGATCTGTATTCCTAACCCATCATGCCTCTTTCCTTCCTCTTTTGTCTCTACAGTGGGAAAAGATAAGAGTTAAGTAGTACTGCTGAAGCAGTGGGTCTCTCTTGATATGCAGTTATTTTTTTTTAAGTTGCTTTTTTACCTTCTTGAGTGTTGCAGATTTGGAATCTGCATGCACAGTTTATCTGAAAGCCTTGACATGCATCTGTGACACATTGCCCCCACACTGAGAAGAATGTGAGCACTCTTATTTTACCACAGTTATGAGTGGATATCTTCTATAGTTGTCTCTATGTGAGAAGGAAAAAAAAACCCAACCAACTCAAAACACCAAATCGCATAAAACTCAAGCCAAAACCTAAGATGTTATTTATGTACACGTTTTTTAAATCACATTCAGTTCCAGTTTAAGCACTGAAGAGAGACGGGAACATTGTCTTCATTCTACTGAGTGAAATTTTGATGTAGAAATCCTTTCTTGGCTAAAAGTGCAGTGAAATGCATGTATGGTAAAAATCAGGCTACATCTTCACATCCTGAGAACAAAGCAAAACTTCTATTTTGATTTAAATATTTCAAGAAGCTGGAGGACCAAAGCAGTCTGTAATCAGGGCAGTTAAAACTCAGAGACATTAAATCTGAGCATTGCCTAGAAGTCAGATCAAGTAGCGGTCTTTTTACCTTGTAACCTGAAAGTTACAGATGCCATTGCAACACTTGAATTGCTAAAGCCTTTGGGGTTTTTCAAGCAGCTGGTCTCAGCAATGCATTTATATCCCTGGATCTGCTAAAATGTGTCCTCGAGGCAGCATCTGATTGTACATTTAGACTGTGTTATTCCATCTGGAGGAGATTAAATACATCTTTTTCCAGTGCAGATATTAGACACTCGTGAGTGTGAGCAGGTTTGCATGGAGCTGCATCAGCAGTGATACTGGCCTGGTTCTTTGTGACTTGCTGCACAGTTGCACAAGTCTTGCAAATATTAAGACTACAACCATCAAGGATGACACAAAAGCTTTTACTTATGCAGAATAGATGTGAAAATATTGGTGCAGGAGTACAGACCTCACAGGAAGTTGCTGGCATATAAGCTCCTATATTGCTTACATGTGGTGTTTGGAAGACAAATATTGGTCAATAACCAAATTCAGTGTTTTATCACTGAGGCACCAAAATGACTCACAGTTCTATTTATACAGTTGCAGATGTACAGAAAAAAGGGTGTGTGGAGGGAGGAGGTAGTAGTTCAACACTTACCTGTAGAAAAACATGGTCACGCAATGTGACTGGCCGAGAAGTAGAAAGAATTTTGTTGTGTGGCATGGGACCATATGTAAGGGTGTGTCTCATATTGAGCAGTAGGGACGTTTTGTTGACCTTAAGCATTAGACTAACAAGAAAATAGATATTGTGCAGCAGAAAGGGGACATGTTCTGTATTGAAGATTAATACCATGGGCTTCAGTTTGCTTGTGGAGTAGGGGAATCCTGATTTTTATTTTTTAATTTTTTTTTTCCTGGGTTGAAGCTTTTAAATTCTGGCTGCAGATGTTTTTAAAATGGCTGAAATACTTCTGCTTTGGGCAATTAAGCCTTTGCTTATAGAAACACATATAGTATCATCAAAGGCTCTGTCAGGTATGGTCAGATCAGCAATGGGAAAAACCCCTAATGTATAGCTGAGCCTCTAGATTGAATTCCCTTCAAGGTTTAACGATTCTGTGATTTTTACTTTCTTTGGTTTTTATTTTTTTTTTTAAATCAGTAACCCTGACCCTAAAATCCAGTTCATCCAGGAACTGGCTTCTGGAAGAACTGGAGTTCAGCTTTGAACATAACTGTGGCATTGAAGCAGCTGAAACAAAATATGAAGGAAGTAGGTAGGGTGGAAAGAATCCAAAACAGCAAAGACTCCCCCGCTCACTCCTTTCCTTCTCACCAATGTTATGTTAACTTTCATTTTTATGTTGACAGGCTTCTTAATAATGCAGTACATCTCTCTCCATCTGTGATGACATTATTCTCAAATAACAACAACAACAAGAGTTTAATGCGTAATTGCAAATTAGTAGACAAGTCCTCACCCAGAAATAAGCTTGCCAGATAAACATGATACACTGTAATGTAATGGGTACTGACAGTAACCAAGTTGGTTGTAGAAAGAAACGTGTGATTGATCATTTAAAATTTCCTTTTCTACTGCCTCCTTCTGTTTTCTTCAGTCACCAATAAAGCTGTGTCATGTTATCTGGTGCATGTCAGTTCAGTACTCACATTTCCAAAGAAATTTACAGCTAGCAAGAAATTTTTAGGCAAGAAGAAGATAATTACCTTTCATGAAGGAAACCCAGATTTTTTGTTTCGATGTCTTTTAAAATATTTGGTCTTTATTTCACTATTCTAATTAATGGCATTATGGTATGCTGGACATTTTACAGATAGATATATAATGCTTCTGACAGTGGAGCTTCCAAGCTTTATTACCTCTGAGAAGACTTCATGCAGTATCTGTGGCTACTCTATTTGTGTTTTTTGAAATGGACTTGAGGATTACCTGGAATGAAAAAATATTCTTCCAAAGTGGCTTGAGAGAGAAGACTTTTCTAATTCTCACTGTTTACCTATTGTCCATGGTGAACAGCTATTTCATTTAGGAAACCTTAAATTTTTTCCCAGTAACTCAAACTTGTGTTTGTTAGTGGATTAGCTGTACTGCTTGCTGGTGGGCAAAGTTTTCATTATTTTCTTCTGTAGGCTTTCAGTGAAGAGTCAACCAGAAGTCTTTTTAATCTGTGAATGAGGTTTAATGAACCATTGCTAAATCTGTTGGGTGAAGGCAATCTTTTCTCTTTGTCTCTTCACTGATCCATTACTGCAATATTTGGGAACTCTCCAATAATAATACTAGACAGTTCTTTCTGTGATTTCAGTTTTCACTTTGAATATGTTCAGAACCAAAATCTGGATTACAGTTCTGTGGTAAAACTTAGTTTGTGTAAGGACAAGCAGAATGGAGGAAATACCTCTACCTCTGAAACATTGTCTTTAGGTTGGGTATTTGTAATTATTCTTTCCAAGATCGCTTCCATATGCTTTAAAGATGCAAAGTGAATCTTTGAGTACTGAGAACCATCTATTAATTTTTTTCTGTAATAACTAATTTAATTGATAGGGCCCCAGTTATGGTGTCAAATTAGGCGCTTGAGAAGGTCACTATTGGAGATCTACAAGAAGTGGTAGAAAGTTTGGGGGCAATTTTTCATTTGTTCTTAGTTTTTTAACAACCACGGTTGACCTATTTTAGGTTCTGCACAACCATGTTGTTACAGGTTCAGCTAGTTAGTCCTGATCTAATGCAAATATTGGATTAAGCTGGATTGTGCTTGAGTAACCGAGCAAAATTTACTGTTAACTTTTTCAGAGAACTTGGTGGAAGCTTTTTTGCTGTTGAACAGGAAGCATAACTTTTTTATTTTTCCAAGATGTGGAGGATTTGATAGGAGGCTAGTTATTTTCTTCTTTGTTCTTCTATGACAGAGAACAAGGTATATTATTTATATGAAAAGTAGTTCTAAACTGTCTGATCCGAAATGTTGACAGAACACAACTGTAAAATCCCAGCCTCTGTGAATGATTATATTCTGCATCTTTTCCTTGAATACTGGTAAATGAACTGATTGCTGTAATAAACTCTCACAAATATATATATATCTTCTCATTGTTTTAAGGTTAATGTTTATGAAATGTATCTTTCCATGTACAACTTGGCTATGCTTCATAGAATATTACTTGCAGCCGTTCTGTTTTGTCATGAACTGTAAAATTAAATGGACTGAAACAACTTGGATTTAAAAGTGTATGTAAGCTATGTTATTCCACATGCTGCCTCTTTGAGACAAGCATGTATGCTAGTTTTATA